TATATATATATATATATATATTATTAAAGTTATTATAGTTATTATAGTTATTATATACATATAAAATATGGTTAGCATATTTTGAATTATTATTTATATGATTTTTAAAAAATATAAATAAAAATATAAATAAAAATTTTTTACAGTAAACAACATAAGAAACAAAATTTTTTTCTTCTATTTAAGTATCACAACTAATTTTTTCTATTTGTTTTTTTTTCTATTATATTATAATTATAAATACACCACACTTTTTTTTATACAAAAAAGGTTGTTACTTTTTTAAACGTACCTTCTTTTTTCTTTTTTTTTATCTTCCTTTTAATAACAAACATTGTTATTATCAGATTTTTTTTTAGATCCCGAAAAAGTGTGGTGACAGAAAAATTGTAATTTATGTAATCAGAGATACAGGTATTTATATTTGCATCAAACTAAAATCATATTACTAGGCCGCCCTAACTTTTATAAAGTTCGAATGATAATTAATAAGCAGTTTTGGCCTTTATGTAATACTTTTTATTCTAAATAATATATACTCGCTTCAGGTGTATTTGCATCTATTGCATCGATTAAAACATACACAAAAAAAAATTTTTCAGGTAATTTAATTTAAATGGCTTTTTTTTTTTATTCTTATACTTTATTATATAAACCACTCAAGTACTCTTTTTTTAATGCAAGAAAAAAAAAATAATTAAGATTTCTTACTTCTTTTCACCTGTTCTTCGCAAATATATAAATCTTTTCGTCCTACTAAGCCAATACCCTCTTTATATATATTATACGGAAATATTTTCGTATTACCTTCGTTTCGTTTCTTATTACGAAAAAAAAAAAAATCGACATTAAGTGTTTCAAACTAACATTCGATGTCATCTCCAACCATGTCTTTTAGTTCAGTGTACACACATAATACGTCTTCTTTGGGTCCCCTTCCTTCTTCTAATTCAACTATATACGGAAGACAAAATTACGCTTCCTCTATTAATAATAATCCTAGCCATAATACTTCAACAAGTCCTTATTATCATCATATTCAACCTCCTCCACTTACTACTGTTATTGAGCAATCACATCAAAGTATGTCTCAAAAGGCAACCATCCCATCAACACAATGGACAGATAACAGAATTAATGCAATGTATCCAGTTTCATCTTTTTCCCCTTATCAACCATCGAACGGTTCAAGTAAGTTTTTTTAAAAAAAGAAACGATAGAAACGATTCTTTCTTGATATTACTTGCCTTTATATTTGAATATTATTATTTTATTATTTGATTATATTATTATATTATTATTTTATTATTATTATTTTCGAACATTTTTATTTCATCAAATATTTTTATTTTTATTTTCACGAATTTCTTCTTTACCTTGTTTATTATAGTTGGTGCTTTGACCACCCGTTTTTACCTGAATATCTTTTTATTTGTTGGGTTTGGAAAAAAAAAATCCATGTTGGGATGATCGATGCGGGACCAGCGGAGAAACGGCTCAACGGCATGTACATCCTTGCCAGTAAAAGTTGTCGTAACCCGAGGGCATCAATTAATATCAATTAATATACAGTCCCTATTTTTGTATTTTAATTTCCAGTAATCATTATTTTATATATATGTGTGTGTGTGTGTGTGTGTGTGTTTACATATATATATATAAT